GGGGCGACGACTGGTCAGAGGGCGAGGACCAGTCACCTACTTTCGAGAGGTGACTGGTCAGGGGCGACGACTGATCTGAGGGCGACGACTAGTCACCTATCTACGAAATGACCTAAGGCGTCACATACTATATAGGTATGACCTAAATGAAAGGAAGCTATATTAAGTATATAACTCGCTTGCGCTAAATCAATAGTTTCTTAATTAAGCAATCTCTCCTTTTAAGTTCGAAAATAAAATATATAACTTGTATATTCGCCTCTATAGTTCCTCTAGCTATCTTCTATCGTTGGCAATGTCGGTCCCCTTCCGTTCTCGGGCTGACTCCCCACACCCCTTCCGCCTCGAACGACCGCCTCTTGCCCGAGCTAAGAGATTTAGACAAGAGACGACAGAAAACGCACACTCTCCAACACCCAACCCTCCACTAAAAACTCGTTATATTGATATGCTTTTACAATTGGATACAATATCAACTCTCCATAATATCCTTGCAGGTGTGTCTACGTGGCTTCTACTTGCTGGCTATATGGTTCTGCCAGGGACGTTCACATCGATCCGCAATTCTCGTGCCCTCCTAGAGGAGGCGGGGAAGGCCGGGAAAGCAGTAGTAAAAGCCGCGCAAAACGTACCGCTGCTATGGCTTGCTGGGATCTGTTGTATTCTTGGGGCAGCTGGAATGTGTTGTTTATGGTGGGTTTATCAGCACAATTACGTGTGGTTGCTGAATCGTATTTTTCTGTAGGAGGGAATCCGATTTACAATATTGACGCCGCTAACATTGTCAAGGCCTGGTCTGCTTAACTCGGCCGCTGGTTTCCTTGCTACTATGGTTAATATCTATACTGCTCGTAGCGGATATTGGTCTATTAGCGCTATTGTTACAGCGACAGTTACAGGAAGCTGCACAACTATTATGATAGTGATATTCGTGGTTTATGACAAATGGCTGTTGACCAATATTAAGAAAGAACACGAGAAACTAAAGAAACAAGCTATGAGGGGACGGACTTTAGAAACTATTACTTTATAAGATAACAGTTTGAAGAGAGGAGTAAGGAAGATAGATCTAGATACAAGAAGTTATTTTTGTTCTTATATATAACATAGCTTACCTTTTTTATACTACTTTTATATTATCTCCTTATTATAATATATTAAGTATATATAGTTTATTTAGAGTAATGTACTTTGTAATAATAAATAAGAACTAAACTAAGTTTAATAAAGTAAGTAGAGCAAAGTCAAAGCTAGGTTGTATAAGTTAAACAACTAACGTTATAAGTTAGTTCGCATTTATTCGAAGCGTTTATTAGCCCCCATGCCCTGTTAAGACTATATAAGCTATTGAGTAAACCTAGTCTATACGAAATAATTATCTGCTTATTTAAGTTAAAGACTAAATAGGCGGTTAAACTTTTAAGAAACTCAGCTGTATATATAAAGATTCGACTGTCCTATCTTATAATATAAATAGCTCGAATTCATTATTCTTTGATATGTGTATAGAAAAATCCAATATCGGAAAGCGACGAAGTGAAAGACTAAGGAGAAGAAGGAATACATTATTCCAAAAAGCTTATCTCTTTGGAGAGGATTTTGAACTTGATATTACTGTAATAATATTTCAGCACGGAAAGTATTATACATATAGTTCTATAGAGGAAGAGACGTGGCCACCTTCTATGATAGAGATTGTAAGTAAGCTAATATTGGATATTAATCATTTAACTAATATATAATAAATAGCGAAAAACCTGGCCACTCTGTAAAGCTTTATTTCCGCAAGATATAAAGCAAAAAAGGCGTAAATAGATTTTCGATAGCATATTGTAACGTCCCCTGTCCTTATCAAAATTTTTAGTTAACTTATTCTAGTATATCCCGTTAACGACTATATTCCGATTAACGTCCGTGAAAATGCAAGCTGTGGTAGTTGAGTGGTTGCGGCCTGGTGGTGACGGGCAGTCTGTGCGTACGGAGTATGTGAGGTTGAAGGCTCTGAGCCCGGATGGGATGCGGTTTGTGCTTGCGCGTTGTGAGGGCGGCTTGCGTTACGTGGCGGTCGTGGAGTTGGTCGCGCCGGGTTTGCGGCCGGAGGAGGTCGTTGATGTTTGGAAGGCCGACAGCGCGGAAGATGTTTTGTTTGCAACGTTCTGGGACCTGGATAGGATGATGTTGCAGTGCGTGAGGGAGCTAATTAGTGATCCGGAATATTTTACGCCGTTGTGGAATCTTTTTCAGGGAGCGTGTGGGGCGTGGCAGCTCTTTGGAGATGCCCTACTTGCGGATGAACAATCGGGTATAGGCGGTTGACATGGATGAGCAGATGTTTTGTGTGTTGAATAGAAGTAACGTCCGTCCCTACGTAGCGAGACAAACCATCAGCACTTTACACTCAAACAATTCTAAATTTGTAAATCCGCTGAAAATTCCCGTGTTTTTGTATCAGTCATATTGTGTGACCATTTCTGAATAGTCCAAACTCTGGCTGCTCCAAAAATTATGATGTCGTTGTCGTCTTCAGGCCTAGTTACGGAGGTTGTCAATTCGGAGTAAAGTAGGACCTCTGACCGATCCACATGTATAAGGTGGTCCGCTCCGGCTTCTTATCACGTGTATAAGCCTCAGGCAAAAACGACCTTGTGACTCACAACAGTCTAGAAGTAGATCCTCTGGCCAGACAAGAATAGACATATACACGCAAGTCTCACCGTAGGGGCAATATCCACTTCCGTTGCCCCCTCCATCGTACTGCTACTTCGATGAACAGCCCCGCAGAAGCCTCCGTATAACTCAGAACGAAGTGAGTTATCTTTTCGAACAGTGTTTAGAGTTGTAGAATAGACCATTAATTCTCTAAATACAGATCGTCTCCTCTTCGAGCCACCTTTCCTTTCAAGGCTACGTCTCCCGCATCACGATCCGCTTCGTGTGAAGATTCTCTCTGCGACATTCAATTCCAACCGACTTCCCTCACTCTCACGCAATGTGTGAATGGGCTTGCAAGACATACGCAGCTTGTACGCGTACTCCCAAACATATGAATCGAGATCACATTATATATTGTACAGACAACAGAAGGATTGCAGGCGACCCATGCCAACCTGCTTCCGGGTTTCTGAGAGATCTCCGGTTAGCTCTCGATGCGCAAGACACCGATATAGCGGGATCCTGTCCTCCCTGTGCCGGGACAACACCGACCAATTCCTCTGACTAGGCTAGCTGCCTTTCCCCCAATGCAGAGAAACGGATCGCTGGGACACCTGCGTACGAGCTACTTCTCCGAGATCCTGAAATATACTAAGTATAGTTAGTTTAGTTAGGTCGTAGAAGAGGTAACGCACAATGAATCATTTCCTAAGACTTTAAAGACTTCGAGGTCTATTTTGTTGAGATCGACATCTGGATATGTGTTGCAGTAGAGATCGAGAACGATATATAACTGAGGAGAAGGAGGATTGCAACATATATGTGTATAGTAGTCCTCTATAGGTTGGATATCTCGCCATTCAAGGAAAGCGTTGATGATTGCTTTGGGGCTTTGAAAAGGTCGTTCGCGATATCGAAGGATTATCCGCACCGGAGCAGCCTGACTCATTTGTGCTAAGTGTAAGAAGGATTGCTAGTATAGCTTGTGGAGGCGGTATTATCAGTGGGCTAAAAAAAGGTACATTTCCTTAAGAATCTGAACCACGGCGAGCGGGAGGTATCTAGATTCTGAATTGAGGCCTCAGGTATAGATTATGTAATAAGGCAACAGCTATAACTTATGTCCTCCAGACAATAGTAACTTTCACCACTATCCTCACTCTATTAAAGGCCGCCCGTTGCCAACGAAATCGGCTGTCTTCTCCTTGGGCTAAGTTTTTTCGGCACGCAGGGATAGACGTTAGTTCAGCACCAGAGTAAGATCGAGAATACAATTGAACTATCCCAGTCAATTAAAACACATATATCAAATATCCACAAATAATAACACTCTGTTCAACCTTCATCAGTAGCAAATGCTGTCGGTACTCGAGCTTGCTCCCACTCTTTGAGCTTCCTAACGTACTTCTGCCTTTCGCAAAGCGACGTTTACCTACACCGTGAAACAGTTCCGTGAAGCGTCTCTCCATGAAATAATAATTCTACTTCGGTTGTAAGCCGAACACTACAATCCATGCAGTCAACATACTGCCCATCTCGCAGTTTATTTACGTGCCTCCTCAGAAAGTGTCTACTAAGAGAGCCACTAGTTGCATACTTGGCGACCCTGTCACGCAATGCCAAGGACGGATTCCCAACACAGACGAAGCATACTTTCGGCCTCTTGTCTCTCCGAATCGATTGTATCGCTTCGTCCAGGGCGTCAGACTCTTCAGCTATAACGGCTGGCGGACTGCTATCCTTCACTGGACGTCCACGCTGGATACGGCGGGAAGCCGGTCCCTCCTCCACGCCGCAGTACGCTGTGATAGCATTGACAGCCGCGATCCTCCGTCGATTCTCGTTTTCGAGGGACGTCTCGGGTAGCGTCAAGATAGCGTCGATCAAATGGAGGTGTTCTACCGTCAACTGATCTGATCGCTCTAACGCGTCTCGCGTGTCCTCGTCGACCACCTTCCCAGACAACTGCCGCTCGCTGTCGATCACTGGCTGCTCCTTCTTAAAACGGTCCACAAGCTCGACTAAGAGGAGCCTGCGCTGGCGCTGCTTCTCGCTCCGGAGGCGACGACATGTCTTCTGATACTTCTCCTCCCCCCCCGGACGTCCTCGGCCCCTCGACAATTTCGCTATGCGACGATCTAGTTTGATAATGCACGGAAGGCAATTGACTGATGCAGATTGCGCAGTGGTCAATCTCCGTGGCCGGCGGGGATCGATCGAACGGCTCATGGAGCATGCGAACCTCATCAGGTCTCTCTGAGGCGCTTGGCCGCGATAGATGTTCTGGACGTCGACGTTGATATTCCGATCGAGGTAATGCTTAAGAAACGTGTCGATGCTAGAATGCTGAAGGATGAGATTCTGCATCGAGTCGCTGACATCCGCTATAGAAAAATTAATATTAGGTGAGGGTCCGGTAAAGCTCGGAGGTCAATACTTACGGCTCTCGTTCAGCGCCTTCGCAGCCCCATCGCGGAGGACGTATGGCTTCGTCACCTGCGCAAAGCCTGTGATCTGGCCGCCTATCTTCATCCGGTAGCGGACCGAGTCAGAGGACAGCTGCAATTGCCGTGCCAACGCAACGCCGCAGGCCGTCTGTACAGCTTGGCAAAATATAAAATCGTCGCTCAACTCGTCCTTGAGCGGGAGCTGTTGCTCATTCATTCCATCGAGGACGTTCAAGCTGTACAGGCTCTCAGAGGAAACAATACTGGGGGATTTGAATGCCTGAACTTTGAAGAGCATGCCGAGCAGGAAGGTATGAGGGCTAAGTACGAGTGTCGGGTCGTAGATGATCTCCGGGATCTTGAACACATTACTAGGCATTACTTAGCTCACACACGGCGGAGAGGAAGGGCAGGGGCGGGAGCGTACACATCCTTCATGCCTAGAAATCCCTTGGTGAACTCGGGCGTCAGCTCAATAAAGAGTCGCGGGCGGGGGTTGTTGTGATCCCGGATCAGAGTCAATTTGAGGTGGCGGTACCGAAGTTGGACCAAGGCCTCTGGGCGGTTACCAGTAATGCCCGCAAGTTGACAGAAGAGGATCAACTGGATCCGGAGCCAGCCAAGCTTGAAGGTCATCTCCCTTGTAGTCAGAAGCACGCGGGCGAACTCGGCCAGATCCTCGACATACATCGTAGCGCTCTCCCGCTTGGAATTATCGAGCTCTTTTTCGATAGCAACGACTTTAAGAACCTAAGATCCGTTAGTAGGAGACCCCACTGCAGGAGGGTGTGCAAGGGGCCACGGGGTATCTCACATCTTGGCCTTGCACTTGGACCATGCCCTCGATCTTCTTGCCAGTCTCGAGCCTATGTACTATGAGGTACCATTTCCAGAACGTCTGTAGCGAGCTTGTATGCTTGATGCCGGGCCGCCTCCGCCCCCCCTTCCCTCGTCGCTGGTCGCAGACCCAGCACAGGAAGCCGTAGAGAAAGCGGGCCGAGGCTTCTTGAAAGCACTGGGCGGGGTGTTGTCTGGTGAAGGTGCAGTATCTATGTACAAAGTAACGTCAGCTGAACATTCTTCGCAAGGTCAATCTCCATGTAGCACATACTGATTATGATGATCCTTGACCCAGTCAAGACGTTTTTGCGTCTTCGGGCTATAACGCCTCTGCCGAAGTCGCCCTACGTCGAGGTCTGCCGACGCGGCAAGGTAGTACTCTGGTGGGTGCCGTACTTCTCCCTCGAAGAGGTCATCGTCGTCGTCCTCCTCCGGAGGACTCTCCGAGTCAGCGTCGCTTGCCGTGTCCGCCTCATCATCACTTCTGTCGAAAAGGCTGTCCGGGTCGGAATCGCTAGTGCTGTCAAACTCGTCGTCGATAGGCGGGCAATCTTCATCGTGTTGAGGCTGGTGCATAATCTGTACAGAGCGTCGAGGAGGCTAGGTGATGGTAAAGACATCAAGGCAGCTGCCAGCCGGATCAAGGAGGGCGAAAGGGCGATCGCGACAGAAAAGAAGGGACGGCCGATGCCACGAGAGCTCTGCGGACAGAAGAGGATGTGAGGTGGAGGAGTGGAGGAGTGGAGGATGACGAGAAGTGAGTGTATGATAGGTGCAGAGGAGTTGGGATGGAGTGAGCAGAGAGGACGAGCGCACTCTTTAAATACATCTTCAGGATCGTGCGGACTCCGAGGGTGCTGTTTTTGGCTTCTTGTGAACCACCAGAAAACGGGGGGGCTCAATTTGAGGTCGAGGAAGCTGGTCGAGGAAACATGGCACTAAATGACGAAGCGTCACTGTCGCGTGGCCGGCCAATAGTTGCACGGTGCCTGGCATGAGCGGTGCGTGGTGCAGAAAGAAGAAGGTGCGCGGTTAGTTGAGAACTGGTTAGCAGACCCCTAAAAACAGCGGCCAAACCCCTCTGAAAACAGCACCTCGCTAACTGTCACACCGTGTATAGAAGTATTAATTTTGTCAATATAATAGTATTACTTAATTCGCTAAAGAGTTTTACTGATTCTTTGATATCTATAAACTAGTACTATATAGTATTTGAAGATGAATTCTTTTGCGAATACGTCTAAAACTCGTAACTTCCTGTTAGTATAATCTATGTATTCTAAACTTTTCCTTTAAGTTTAGATAATTTCGTTATTTTATAGTCTTTTTATTTTCGTGAAAGTAGCGATTTCCCTTGTATTTAGAATAAGATCTCTGTTTTTGTTTTCCCGAAAAATAGCTATTTTCTTATAAACTTTGTCTTTTTCGTATTCAAGCTATTTACTTAAAGTGTCAGCTTTGAAGTTATTAATTCCTTTAATATATTTGATTATTAGATCAAACTAAGAGAGTTCCTCTGTTTATTATACTATTCGTCGATTATCTAAGACTTTTGTAGTTATAAAAGTACGAAAGTTCGTGTAGTCGGTATATATAGTAATTGGAAACTTTGTACTTTGGAGATATATCTTCTAGTATTTTAAAGTTTTAATTATAACTATAAGTTCTTTCTTATAAATGTTGTAGTTCTATTTAATTGACAAGTATTTCTCGGAATAATAAACTATAAGATGTAGTTTTCTATTCTCGTTTAACTAAAAGTATATAGCGTTTACATATAACAGTTCTATTATTCTTCCGACAGGGAATCTTAACAGAGGTGTTCTGTTTCGTTTGTGTAGCGAAGTAATATAGTAATCTCTTTTAATGATCTGTAAATAATGTCAAAGTGAGTGAATTACAGAAAGAATCAAGTGTAATCAAAGTAAACTGTTATTATTGATATTCAAGAATCAAGTTGAATATACAACTTCTATCTAGTAAGGAAATTACATTGTTTATATAGAACTTTCTTGTTTCCTAGATCTAAGTGAATCCCTAGAATCCCTATAAATCCCTAATAATTCAGTAGATCGCTTAGTAGGCTCTTGATCTAGCTGTTACGTGACCTCGTCATATACTTCTATAGTTCTCTGTAGTAGTAAGTTATATTACCCGAGTTTCAAGTTATAAAGTTGGCGTTCGTAACACTATCCCCTATATAGCTTAGCATAGTCTTTTAGTTTAAAGATTATATCGAAAACATCGAACGTCAAGTATAGCTTTCTTCTTTCTTCATTATACTACTTGATCGTTCTAAAAAGATTAAAGAAAATCGCTAGAACTTTTACTCCTAGATTTTGCGAGATAGTATCAACATGTTTTCCTACTCCTGTTACTGAAAAGACTCTCGTCGTATCTACGTCGTATCTGCAGAATCCGATCACTATTCGAACTACGTCCTAGTAAGTAGTTCAGCGAAGTGTGACGTCTAAGAACTTTCGCAAAGTGAATAACTAATTGTTACAAACGCTAACTTTATAGTCTGAAACTCAGGTAATATACTATATTACTACAGAGAACTATAGAGGTATATGACGAAGTCATGTGACAGCAGAGAATCATATAATAAGATCACGTAAGGAGGATCTAGAGAGATCTAGATCTGTTCAGACTTTGGATCTGAATAGATCTAGATCTAACTAGATCTAAGAACAGGAAAGTTCTATATAAGTAATATAATTTCCTTACTAAATAAGAGCTTCGTACTCAACTTGATTCTTAAATATCAATTATAATAGTTTACTTTGATTATACTTAACTCCTTCTGTAATTCACTCACTTTGATATTATTTATAGATTATTAAAAGAGATCACTGTATTACTTCGCTATATAAACGAAATAGAACACTTCTAATACAACTCCCCGAAAGAGGAAATATTAGAACTATTATACTTTGAGTACTTCTTTGCCGAAATAAGTAAATTACTATAACTCCAGCAACTTTGCTAGCTACGAAGCTGTTTACTGCGAAACAGCTAGCTGTCGCTAACCCGAGTACTAATTAGGTGAACTTCACACTATCGACTAGTAGACTCCAAGAAGATATCGAGATATCCGACTTACTCTATGAATTTAAAGTCGAAGTTAATGAATCAATTCGTATTACTCTCCCCGACAAGTATAACAGTAACCGAAAAGATTTCGAGACCTTCATCTTTCAAGTAAAGATCTACTTCAACTTCAACTACGAGAAATTCGAGACTAACTATAATCAATAAAACTTTTAAGTAACTTCTTACTTACGAGGACTAGCTTTGGAATAAGTTCAACTATTCTTTGAAAACTTCTTCAGGAATGAATCAGAGGACAAGAAGATAGTAGTTACGAAAACTATCTTCAAATCATAGAACAGAATAAAAAAAGAAATACGACGAATATTTGGAAATATCGATACTACTCAAATAGTAGTACGAAAAATATTTAATCTTCACTAAACTAGAACAACTCTTATTTACACAACAGAGTTCTAAAGATATAGTATTAAGATAAAATAAAATAGTCTTACTTTAATAGAATTATTCTGTCGAAAATTGAAAGAATATATCTATAAAGAAATAGTACGATAAAACATAGTCTATAACGACATTATTAGTATAATTGAAAGTATTATCTAGTTAGATAATCGTTTGTAAAAATTCAAGAAGAACTATATTCTACGAGAAAGCTAAAAAAGAAACTACTAGTCTGGACAAAGATATTAGTAGAAGAAAACTAGAACGATTAGTATAATTCAACATAAAAGAAAGAAATTCGTCTCGAACGAAGAACAAGACCAGCGTCAAGAAAAAAGCTTATATTTCGACTACAGACTTCTAGGACATTAAATTATATCTCACTATAAAGGAAAATAACAAAAGAATAAACAACTTTAGAAAAGAAAGTCTCGACAAATCAACGTTACTAACTACTAACAAGTGAATATAACCGGACGAAAAGATCTGACTGAAGAAGACTTTGAGTCTATAAACATCTACAGCCAACTTAGAGCTATAGAAACTCAGCAAGCCAATAACTTTCTATTATACTAGACAGTAGAAGACTTAGTACTATAAGTAGAAACTACTAGTTTAGAGGATTTAACTTTACCCGACTCTCAGGAAAGACTTGAAGAACTTAGTAAATAAACAATACTCGACAAAAGTATAGAAATAAGAACAATATTACAAGAAGAAGAAGAATAGTCACTACTTGAGATTACTAAATATAGTAATATATAAAGAAAGGAAAACAGCAATGAAGTTTTCATACTCTCAGAAATAACTATAAACGACAAACTAGTAAAATATTATATATACTTAGTTACTTATATTGACGTGGAGAAAGTCGCTTTCAAAGAAACTGGGACAGAAAAAGTCACTATCGAAAATATTGACCTAAGAGATGAACTACCCGACTTAGTAGATCTCTTGGAACCTGGAGACATTTAGGAAGTTCTAACAACTAGACTTCACAAAAGAATTTAGAAGAGAATAGTATTTATACTAGAGGGACATTATTAGTACGCTTAGTAGAAGTTCTACTAACCTACAACTAATATATTCAGGACTGAGAATCCTTATCAGTTATTAGTATAGGAAACTTATCATAGAATATAGACCAACTTATACAGAAACAATGAAGTCGTAGAAATACTAAAGAACCCCCCCGAGCTGAACACAGCCAGAAGATAAGGACATATAAACGTTGAAGTAACGTTTAGAGGAAAGAAACTCAGAGTAATAATTGACTCTAGAACTAATAACAACTATATTTCTCCTACAACTGTCGCTAGACTCAACATTCTAATCACAGGAATACTATTTTACGAATTAATAGTAGTAGACAGATCGCAAATAGATTACAATAACAGAGTAATCAGCTAAAGAACTGTCTTTTCAAGACTAACAACGAAAGACGGACATATAGTAGATATACAGTTTCATATTACACTAGTAGGAAAGTACTAAGCTATTTTAGGAATACTTTAGATCCGCGAGTACAACTCTGAGATCGACTAAGTTATAGAGACTATTATATTTAGTCGATACTATTGCGAGAGTTCGCAATAACTAGAAAGCTAGAAGGAAGTTAGCACTACTTCTTCTAATATACTAAGATACTTAACTAAGGATCCTCCACAGGATACTAGTAAGAGTAGTAAAAAGATCTCTGTATAGTATAGAGAATTCGAAAGACTGTTCGAAAACCCGGAAGATATACGTGCCCTGCCCGAATATCAACTATAAGACTACGAAATTAATCTAAAAGAAAAGCGACAGCTGCTTTCTAAGAAATTACGACAACATCGCTATAATACTATTAAAACGTTAGAGGAATATATTATAATAACACTGAAGAAAAGATAGATTCGACTATCTAAATCGCTAACAATATCAAATATACTAATCGCTAGTAAACTAAAGGATCCGAAAAGGAGACTTTGTAGTAATTTTCGTAAACTAAACGACGCTACAATATAAGACTAATATCCGTTGCTTAATATACAATATCTGCAGAACAGACTAGCTAAAGTAAAGATATTTACAAAGATCAA